CACGACTATAACCGTCCATTAACGTTAATAAATATTTTCTAACAGTTATGGAGCCACGTGGTCCCCGTAAAAAGTCACAAAACCATCAAAAAATACGAGAGGTTGTCTCGTAATTGGCAAGATAGCTCTCACTGTCTCGCGTATCCGAGACAGCCTACACTATCTTAGAAACGTAAGATAGTGGAGACTGTCTCACCAACTGTGAGACTGCTACATGTCCCTTTGAGTTATTGTTTTGCGTGCTCCATTGCTTCCTTCTGCATTAGCTAGTCTTCTCTGACTTAGACTATGACGTTCTTCGTCTTCTCTTGTCTTGAGCTATGTTTAAGACTTATAGGTAATTTTTGACGCCTACACGCCACAACACTCTCGAAAAGATGGAGATGGCGCTGGCTTGCAAGGCTAGCTATGACTATCTCAAGGCATAGATCCGAGCCGAACTCTGAAGTGATCCCAACCGGTTTCACTATTCTCCAAGGGTGGCCAACTGTCTTGGTGCACTTTAGGGGATAGAGAAGCAGTGAGGGGGCTCATGCTCGATGGTGGGAGCGGCGACGGGGAGGATAGAGAGTCGGCCAAGGAGGCAGACGAGTGCTTAGCTCATAATAGCTCGGTGACAGACCAAAGGGAGAGAAGGCAGAGAGGTCGAGAATGAGGTCCAGTCGAATTCCTTTTCCAACTTCTATTATCGATGTTTCCACAAGTCTGATACCTACTCTTAGTCCTAGCATCGACCAGCCTGCATCTCTTCCGAGTCTGACCCCTTAGGGGCTTATATATCTTCTCTTTTTTATAGTACTTTTGCATTGTAAATAATCTCATACATGCATGAAAATATATTTTTGTCAATTTGAACCAAGTACCTTTGAGATTGCGTTCTTGTGTTTAAGAGTTTACAATCTGTCTTTAGTATTAATTTTCTTTTGGGTCAAGACGACGCGGGTTTGTGCCTTGAGTTGGAGACGATTCAACCTCGTGCCTTGGGTTTATTCGCAATGACACCAAAGTCTTGGGGTATGTGCCTTTGACTTATGATAAGGGTGCCAAGGTCATTTTCTCAGAATCAACCAAATTGATGATGTGCCTCGGGTTTATTCTGAATAAGTGCCAAGGTCTTTTGTGTGTCTTGGGTTTACTCGTGATGACACCAAGTTTTGAGACGTGTGCCTTGGATTTTACTCATGAAAATAATACCAATGTCTTTGACGTGCCTTGGGCTTATTCATGAAAATGATGCCAAGGTCTTTTGCCGAAGTAGGTCGAGTCGACAAAGATCGATCAACGAAAGCTACATACAGATATATAGCAGAAAAATATCTCATTTATCAGAGTGTCTTTACTTTGATTATCTTGGAGACTTTTTCAAAGCTATATACATATATATTATGACCAAATTGCCATCATATTCTTACGGCAAAATTTCTTGACTGCCATGGAGCATAAATGGAGATGACAACTTCTTATTTCAATGCTCGAATATAGAGGATTGTCCAGCTAAAGCAATAAAGAGGCCTCATGGTGAGTGCCAAACTGTTGATGTCCTGGGACTCAGCAACTAGATCAGAAGATAATCCTGAGTTAGTGACGGGGCTTAAA